AATATTGCAAAATTTTTTAAAAAATTTAAAACTAGTTTTTTTTTTGTAAGTAAATAAAGAGTATAATTGAATATAAATTTATTTTAACAAAATTTTTAACCAGGTTCAAATTCAAAAATTCAAGATTTGTAATAATTTAATCATTTGCTTTATTTAAAAAAATTTAATTAGATGGCAACACCATTCAAATTTTTTTATGCCAATAACCTTATACCCTTTGGTTCGATAAGTATTTTGTAGTTTCACTTATTTAAAGAACTTTAAACAGGTGGCAGCTCTGCTCAAAACCGTTATTTACTGCAAACCACCTTATGATTTCGTTTGTTTGACATCACTGTTTGAATAATGCGTTTGTTTCAACACATTTATCATTTGAAATAATATTGAGATTTTCTTGTGTAAAAAAAGTGTTTCAGGTGGCAACATCACCTAAAAATATTTTTGCTAGCATTCTAAATTTTATTAATTTGTATGCCCTAATAGTAATATCTCATTAACATGAGTTGCATTTATTTAAAAATTAAATAGGTGGCAACACTTATCCAAAGTATTTTAAAAATACATAATTTATTTTGTTTGATACCAATGCAGCAATAAATATTTTATTTTAAAAATCGAATTAAATCTAAAATCATTACTATTTTATTAAACAAAAAAAAATAAATAGGCAAAATGCAAAATGTTCACTAACTACTTTTAATGCTTATTAGAGCCTTGTTTGTACTGTAATATTGACTTCAAATTATAATTAAGCTTAATTAAAAATTTAAACAGGTGGCAACTCTTCCGAAGTATAAGCTAAACAAATGAGCTTCAATATTTTCTCCTTTTGATAACTTTAATATTATAATAGCATATAATTCAGTTAAACGAAATAAATAAAATACAGTTTTAAAGAAGGTGGCAACATTCTTCAAAATATAGTTGCCATTGGAAGCTTCCTCAAATTGCATCACTTCTATAACAGTATTACATTGTTGCTTTCCGTGTTTGTGTTTCTATTGTCTAACTCTCACATAATCACCCTTTAAAAGCTTAATTCCATTACATATGTATACCGTTATGTGCATTCGTAACAGCATATAATATAAAATAAATAAACATCATGTTCATGGCATATCGACAGGCGCTGCGCCATATCCCATAGTAACAGTGTGAAATATATCGAGACTGTGGTAAAATCCCAAAGCTAATAGCGCGGCAAGTAGTGATAACAATAACAACAACAACAAAATAGTTTTCCTGCATGACATGTGCAACATTGCGATAGACTTGCGTGAATTCGGCAGTGGCAATTGCAAGTGGGAAAGTGTTGATGCAACACAAAACTGCAAATGCGCACACATACATGCATATCACTACCACTGTCTGCCGCTGTGTGTTTGTGTGTGTGTATAGGCATGACGGCAGTATTTGCTTTGCAACTGATAGTATTTACACAAGTGCATGACAAGCTTTCAAATGGTAATTAATATTCATCAGAAATAAGCAATGGCCTTGCCACTGACAGCAGCAGCAAACACAACAACAACAATGAATTGTATGCATGAAAAATGAAATCTAAAATATTTATGTGAATATCAGTCGCATTTGGCAACCCTGCTGCGGCATGCAATTTTAGTATTTGTAATTGTGTTTGTATAGCTTTGATTGTGGCATGTCTCAGCTGTCCTCTGGGATGGCGCGCCATCTCGCCCTAGAGAGCGACTGCAGTCGTTTGTTGCTTTCTTGCGATTATTTATTGCACTACCATCGATTTGTGCATTAAGGCATAGAATGCAATAAATCTTCAACAATATTCTGAACTTTGAATTTAATGGTTAGGTTTCGGTTAGTTGAAAAATTTACAGATTTGAAGAAGATTGGGTAGAAAGAGACTTTAAAAATATAACTTAATTTGTTTTCTTTGGAAAATGTAATGTTCGAAATAATTTATTGCAGTATTCTTACAGCATCATTTTTGGTTTTATTTAATATTTAATAACACTTTACTAACCAAAGTCTTCAGCTTGTGATTATCTGCGGTCTTTGAAGTCTCTATATGCTGATTGTTGGTTTTCTTATTTGCTTTAACACGTTGCCTGGCAGTGGATCACCGGTGGGCACTACAAAAACCTACCCCCAGGTGCAAATGTGGCACCGGTGAAGCACGCCACGGCCAAAGCGCAACGTGCATCTTTTTCCATGGCACCAATGAATACATTTTTCTCGTGATCACCGGTGATACATTGGTGGTTAACGTGTTGAAAAACATGTCAGTAAAGAATTTTGAAATAGATTACCTCGTATTGTATATGCGTTTTGGGTACATTTTTAAGACCTGTTCAGGACAGCAAATTTTTCATTTTTCCCTATCTTGAAGTAAATCATCGAGCTTTATCAGATTTTAAAGTGAAATAACTTTTTAAGAAAATAATATAACGATAATTATAACGTAAAGATGCAGAATATGGATTGCCTCGTTCTGATGATTCCTGGTTTATAATTGCTTGTAATAATCTCGAACACTGCTGAAATCAACTTCTCGATTAATTTCTTAAATAGGATCTATGTAAAGTTTGAGTTAGAGTTATCGGGTTCATTAGATTGTTATTCGAGACCAATTTCGAAATGAAACATTGGATTACTGTAAGTATTTTAAAAAAAAACTTGCGTAAGTAGGAAGAGTTCTACTTAAAATAGACCCTTTCTGAGCTTTTGGTATAAAATTGAAGTTAAAAAAATTCCGAGATAACAGGTCGATTAGAAAGTCACCAAGCCGCCATAGTTAAACAAATTTTGACAAAATTCGTTTTTCCACACAGTTCTCTTCAAGGGTGATACACTGTTTATAGCAAGCCTCCAACCTTTTAACACCACACTTTTGTAGTATGATTTGTCCTTTGCTTCAAAATAGGCCTCAGTTTCAGCAATCACATTTTTATTCAACGAAAATTTCTTCCCGCCGAACATTCTTATGAGATCTGAGAAGAGAAAATTGTCAGTGTGGGGTCAGATCTGGAGAATATGGTGGATGCGAAGCAATACGAAGCTTAATTCAGGGATTTTTGAAATCGCTTTCACTGACTTGTGACAAGGTGCATTGTTTTGATGAAACAGTACTTTCTCTTTCTTCAAATGCGACAGGTGTTGGCGATTTCGTCCGCAGTACATGATGTCGCTGTTGATGGTCCTTCCTTTTTTAAAGTATTCAAAAAAATTATTCCACATGCTTAAAATTGTCCACGCTTTGGATCGGGTTTTCGGGTTTGGATCGTTTTCGCGGGTGACTGTTGATTGAACTTCGGAGTGAAATGATGGAGCCATGTTTCATCCATTGTAATATGCCGACCCAAAAACTCGGGTTTATTACACTTGAATATTACTTAACACTGCTTCAAATCATCAACTATTCGTTGGTTTTGGTCAAAACTGAGCTCGCGCCGCACCACCCAGTGAATGACTTACACGTCAAACAACTTCACTTAACCGTCACACCAAAATATTGTTTGCCGACCTTTTTGAAGTTTTCCTCGGTAATAGACGTTTTAGGCGTCCAGTGCCCTCATCGTTTTCATTTTGCCTTGTTCAGATTTATCAAACCACTTTTAAAAGATTTATTTCACTGATGCAAAGTCTAAATAATGCTCATCAATCCAATTATTGGCTCCAAAAGCATTACCTTTCCTCTAAACGCGAATTTATTTTTTATCAGTTTTTCCGCAAAACAAATATTGCTTCACTCAAAATGATGAAAATCACAAACAAAGGATTCGATATGTTTTAGTACTGGGACTTTTCTATTTTCCTATTACACTCAATCCTTATTCGTTTCTTTTATTTTATTCAGTCATATAATTAGCGACCAACCAACCTTTATATATACATACATATATTTCAAATATTTATATATAAAAATCTTCTGACCGTGTGTTTGTAAATGAACTGCTCCTAAACAGCTGGACCGATTTCTATGAAATTGTTTTTTCTGTATTCATGGAGATTCGAGAATGGTTTAGATTCACAATTTGATCCACTGGCAAACGTTTTTTGAAACAAATTTTCATTTTAAATTTTGGAATGTTTTACATTGGATCCGATAGACTGCGTATCCAATATTCAAACCTTAAAAGGCGACATCTGTAGACCAATAGCAAGTTTTCATAATGTGGACAGGATTCTTCGTTTTTAAGTAATAAATTGGGTGATTCAGTAGATCTATGGGTAGCCATTACATTTTTTTCATACCTGCTAACTACTCTAGAGAACAAGAATGCATAACAAACGTCGTCAAGGCTTTGCCGATACTTTGTTAGATTATGGGCGAAGGACCCAAATGCATTATCAAACCTAGAATAAAAATATAGCGGCATAACTGAAGTGTTGATAAAAATGTCTATTATAATTTGAGATAAACAGCAATCTTTTCGAAGCATTGCACAGAGCAGTGCAATATTTAAATGGCAACGATGAAATATATATTTTAAACTGATCTGCCCCAAAAAAATAATAAAATTGCTAAATATTTGGTATAGTGAAATAGAACTGCAACCAAATGCACAGTGCAATGAATTAAAACTGCCTCAGTAATCATTCGATGAATAGTGTACCACGGACATCCCAAAAGACTGATGCCATATCCTTGCCAGCCGATATCTTATCTGGCCACGCAAGAGAACCGTTTCATAATTAGCAGGATACTAGGCTGACTGTCGACTGCTGCACAGCCCAAATTCAATTTCTCCCCAAAAACCAATGCTTTCTTAACGCACGAAATGCTTTTTGATTAATTTTTTTGTAAATTAACACAAGTTGCTTCAACAAAAATGCGATATCTTCTTAACTAATGGCTATAATCTAAATAATAGAAATCATATAGATGATATTAGTTGTACTACCTATGTTTCAGCCACAGTAAAACGTGGACGGGTCCTCTAGTATTTCATTAAATTCTTTATACTCATATTATTCTCCGATGTCCTTACTCTATCTCCCACTTCTATGCTCTCATCTACTTGCAGGCATTGTCATTACAAATCAGCAGAACATCATCAAATCACAGAATTTCCACCTACAACCACAGCCGCGCTACAGCGACGCTGGCGTACGCCGGGAGGGTCACACTATAGCCGCGTTTGCGCCTGCGTCGGCAGCGGCGCCGTCTACAGGTCACAGCATATCAACAGCACATCGCGTGACAAGCAGCGAAAGCGTTGCATGGAAGTCAATAGCTGACAATGAGCTACCAGTGTCGCAGCTAGCTGCCGACGAGCAGCAAAAACAACAAACACAACAAAAATGTGCCAAATTTAATTGTGTAGCCATCGCAAAGACAAATGTGGGCGCACACCACTATGCCTCCACTCTTTCCTCTTCAAACGCTGCGCACTCTCTTGCGGGTGCAGCGCTGAGCAGTCAAGCAACAAAATCAAATTACTACAATTATAATAGCCAAAAACAACATGAACATCTGCAGCAGCCATCCCCATCCGAAAAGCTATCGGCGCTTGAAACTCCGGCCAACTTACAAGAGCGCCAAGAGAGCAATTATAACAAGAGGCCAGCAACGCGTGCGCAATGGGCGCAGTTGCTGAAGTCACAGTTTAAAGAACACCAGAGAGTGCATGTGGCACATAAAAGCCAACACAAGGAGGTGAAGCGGCACCGCGCGCCGGCGTCTGACGAGTTTTGGAGAGCGCATGAGAGCGCGCAGAAACTTCGGTGGGTACATGAAACTAGCGCTGCAATTAAACGTCGCCTACGACGTTCCACCGATGCCATAATATTGTTGCCTGCGTTGAATGTGGACGCTGCTGAGCAAGTTGACAGTATGAGTACAGAAATACTGAATGATGAACGCGTTCACTTGACGCGTCGCTCAATTAGTGAGAGCAGCAGTGAGAGTGCCGGTGTAGCGACTGCGAGCGCCACAACACAAGTTGAAACGTCAGCGCAAGTCGCCACATCTTCGGCATCCACTGACGTCGATATCTCTACGTCAGCTGCGGTAGTTTCCTCCGCTTCCTCGCTGTCTACATCCTCCCTCGAGGACTTTAACTTCTCCTCTCCCGTTGTTGACACGCAACCTAGCGCCATCTATCGCAACTCAACAACGAATCCGCTTGTAGCCGATGCCGCTCAACCCATTCAATATGTTGCGCTGAAATCGAAGCGCGCACGCTCGGCTGTTAGCGTTAGTGTGCCTGCCGAGGTGCTTCGTAAGCCGAAAGAACCGATTATCATTATCGATGATGTGGAGGAATTCGATAGCGGTACAAATAGTGAACACGACCTAACCGCTATGGCCACAGTGGATGATAAAAGCGAAGATTACTCGCACGATGAGCCAATTGAGCCGCGCATGTTGCCGCTCCGTCCAGTGCTGCCCAATCCGTATGAGGACGAGGAAATGTCAGTTGTTTATGCGGAACAACATTCCGAGATACGGCTGATGTGCGAAGTGGACTTGGATATTGCGTCCAGCACGTGGTACAAAAACGGACAGGTGAGTTTTCAGTGTAAATTAAGCAATTTGAGAAGAGGTTGCATATAAATACATGTTTATATATATAACGCATATACAATATAGAATATCGACTTTAAAAGGGAGGATCCGTGGGAAAATTTAACAGGTTTAGAGGGAAGTCAATTACACCAACCAGTGGCGCTTCTTGCCAAAATTATTTTAATTTAAAATACAATATTTCGTCGGTAGATTTTAGATTTATTACGGATATCTATAATGTCAAGTTTCTGCTGATAAAATCAAAACACTGACAATTGCATCTAAGTATAATGAATATCAGAAAGAATTCTAGTATCTTAAATTTATGCTACTAGAACCTAGAATGTATAGTTACTCTCATTTAACTTTTTAGTTTTCAAGATTTCCTAAAGTTCTTTTCAGAAAAGGTTTTGAAAACAAACTGGTATTTAGTTAAATTTTCAACCTCTCTTAAGAAATTTGGTATTCTTTTCTTAAACTTTTGTCTTGATTGTAATTATTTTATAACGCGGGCTCTGAATTTGACTACAGATCTTTCAATTTTCGGCTATAGTACCCTTATTCGGCTATACATAGCCCTTATAGTTTGTTAGTAAGTTAGGCTAGATGGCTGATCTTAGATCGCACGCGGATGTCCTTTTTGAACTTACTGCTGAAGCTACGGAATAATTCCGTTTTCGAGCTTACAAATTAACCGAAAGCTTAGCAGTCAATGCAATTTTCACCGGTATTTAATTTCCACTCCCGTCAGCTCGGTGGGATGTCTGAAGTTATGCGCTCCCAAGTGCTTAAGCCTTGACAACCCAAACGCGGGAGAGTCTAGAATGAAATTTTGAGTTATTTATTTATCTTCTTCTGCTTCTGCAGTTGGCGTCTGGTAAAATTCCCAACTTTATAGCACGGACGCCAAAAGGGCAATGACTGTGTTAAAAGATCCACAACTAGGGAGAGGCTAGCATTAATAAGGACAAAAATATCACCAGACCTCTTGTAGAAGAATATAATGAGCTTGACGAAGGTGTCGTATAGCCAGAGGACCACTTTCGGTGAGAGGCCTGACCTTTTGTCAAGGGCTCCTCTGTAACAGTATAAGGCAATCGATGCCTCCTTTTCGACTTTCTTGAAAGTTTCGTATACAGGATGAGCCGTAAATACTTCACTGTATACGTCGGTTGCAGACGGATGTCTCCCTTTGACGACGGCGATGCCAACGGGATTTTTTATATTCTAGTAAATAAAATCATCTTGGCCTTATAAGAGTTGATGGTGAGCCCTATTCCGACTTCCATTATGTTACGCAGTGATAAGCGGTGTGAACCAGCTGCATGACACTATGACGCCCGATAGCAGATGCGCTGCTATGATGCCATCCGATCGCGAGGAGTGAGCATCAAGAAGTATCCAAAGTATGTCTTCACTTCTTAGTGCCCATTTACCATTTGGGGCCATAAGATATCCCGGGGAGACGCGTTCGTTTGCGAGAATACACCTGAACCTAGGGAATTCACAACAACGCTTCACTTTTTCGCAGAAGCTTTTTCATGGGATCCCTTTACCTTTCTTAACTCGGACTTGTATATTTGCAATATCTCGTTTCATACAACGGCCAATCGTAAGTTAACCTACACCTATCGACCTTGTTGTACAAAAAAATCAACAGTTGAATGTGGCTCCATGAGTTTTGAACTCATCAGTGACATTGACAGTTCCATTGCTAACCTTCTAAGTAGTCTCTATCGGTGTTACCTACTTCAGTTCGACTTAAATAGGTTGGTAAAAATAGGATCGCTATTTAAGTTCAGGAGTGGTATTCCATAAGTTTGAGAAATTCAAAAACCTCTGTGAGATATACCTTCGATAAATTAGGCTACATTTTTTAAGAAGCGATACTTTAGCTCATATTTTGAAGCTCCCACTTTTTAGTATTCGTTCGTAAATTACATTTGAGTAGGTGTGCACAGGTTAGGTTATGTAAATTGAAATTTTTCGCACTCTTCGAACTCTATGAAATTGGTTTAAATACCTCCTCCAGTGTAATATAACGTGCGGATCCCAGATGCTTACAGTGCGGGACAAGTGCACAAAAGATCATCCATTGTTTCCCTGGTGTCTTGCCTTGGATATTTTCTGCAGTCTTCTCGATCTGTCGGCAATTCTGCGGGCGTTTATCGCCATCAGACAGTGTTAGTATTCCGATCATCTTCCTACAGTCTCTTCCATCGAGTATCAGTAGGAATTTTAAGTACTTATGATTGACTTTTGCAGTTTTTCACCCACGTAGCACGTTCCATCAGTATTTCTTTACCATGCTTCTGTTCAGTTCGTCGTATAGACAATGCAGGGATTTCCCAATGTTTATCACGTATCTCGATGCCTATGTGGACCAGTAGAAGTGAAATTGCTTGCTTGGCTGTCGACGTACATGTTGACTCTGGAATTACATTAAAGTGCATTAGAGGCCTGTTCCGCGGCATTAGCAATGGCAAAGAACTCAGTTTGAAATATACTTAAAAGGCTCGCCTAACTCTTCACATTATTACCCCGCACCAATTCTATCGTCTACTTTTTAGCCATCCGCGTAAATGTTTAGAGTGTTGCGCATAGGTGGCATGTCTTTACGCCAGCCATCTTTTTCTATACTTAATTTCAACGTTCTTTCCCAGTTGAAAAGTGGGAACATGTAATTGGTGTTCGCCCAGTCGCCATTACCCACCGAGCTATGCCCAAAGGTTTTAAATGTAAATTCTCCTGCAGCCAGTAGCGAAGAGGTATATGGGTAGCAGGTTTAATACCAGTTCAAGATACGCTGTTGGAGTTTTTCTTTAAGCTACCGTTAAGCACAGCGAGAAGGAAAGGAATAAATGCCACACAATCATTTTTATTTCACAATCATGGTGACAAAATAGAGTCTATTAGAAACGCGTGTACAAATTAGGCAATGGACGTAGCACCGCTCACCTTTAGGGGAAACTCTATTTCTTAGGAACTACTCGACCACTTTTAACTAAATTTGGTGCGTAGGCTAACCCAGCGATATTACCCAAATATTGCTCTCATTGTATTTCATCTAATGCTAAAAATTATCGCATTCGGACTATAACTTTTCAAGCACTCAGAAACGAAATACAATATATGGACACCAGTGTTAATGGAAAATCTTTTACCTAACATATCAATCAAACTGTGTCTAGTACTGAAATTCCTGAAGCATATTTTTGTAATCACGCAAGATCACTTTTCATAAGTTTACAGACGAAGGAAAAATGATATCATTAAAACCACTCATTGAAAAAAGTCCGACTGATCCCAACAAAATTCCGGATCTAATTGACTTCGCAATTTATATCGGCATAAACCCACATCATCTAGAAATTTGGAATAATGAAGATATGAGCTCAGATCATTCCGCTCTCATTATCAATATGAATATGCCCGTATTTGTCACATCCCGAAAGCAGCGGTCTTTAACTAAACGATCGAACATACGATTTTTCCAAACTTGGTTGGATTCCCACGTAAACCTTAACATGGAAATAACAACAAAACGAGACTTAGATGACGCTGTGGAAAACTTCAACCAAAAAATACATCAAGCCGCTACGTTAGCTTCTCCTCTTAATTCATCTAAACCATACTGTAGCAACAATGTGCCATATTCAGATGAAGTAACGCAGATGGTACAAAATAAAAGACGACTTCGAAGGATCTGGCAGAATAGCAGAAATCCGGTTGACAAAACCAGGCTAAACAAAACAATTAAAGAATTACAATCCAAGTTGGCAGAGCTGAAAGAAGAATCTATTGCAGAATTTCTTAAGAATGCTGATCCAAATAAAAACGATGAATACAATCTGTGGAAAGCTACTAAATACCTGAAACGTCCTCCGAAGCGACAGGTACCGATAAAAGATGAAGGCAACTCTTGGTGTAGATCTGACAAAAGAAAAGCCGACGCGTTTGGCAACCACCTTGCGAATACTTTCAAGCCTTTTGCTCTCAATACAATCTCAATCAGCGCCAAAATGTTCAGACTTTTCTTGAGAATCCATGTCAAATGGATAAACCAATACATTACGTTAAACTGACTGAAGTACAATCAGGAGTGTCACAGTTGAAAATTTCTAAATCGCCTGGCCCAGATAATATTGATGCATTGACAATCAAACAATTACCAAGGAAATGCCTGCTATTCTTAGTTTTAATCTTTAATTGTGCTTTTAGGCAAAGTCACTTTCCTACGCAATGGAAATGTGCCGAAATTATAATCATCAGCTAAACAAGCCCGAGAACGAAATAACCTCTTATTGACTAATAAGTTTGTTGACAATATTCTCTAAAATATTTGAAAGAATATTTCTTAGTCGATTGTAGCCAGTTTTGGATTCCTTATACCAGATCATCAATTTGGATTCAGGCAACTACATGGAACCGCTGAACAGTGTCACAGAATCGTAAAAACCATACTAAAATACCTCGAAGAGAAACAGTATTGTTCGGCAGTTTTCTTAGACTGGCATGAGGGGTTGTTATTTAAAATAAAAATGAAAGTACCAGCTCAATTCTACCTAGTTCTTCGGTCATACCTAGATTGCAGACATTTTTACGCTAGAGTTAATGATGACACTTCCGACGTATACGAAGTCAAAGCAGGCGTTCCGCAAGGCAGCGTGCTTGGCCCAACGTTGTACACGATTTTCACTGCCGATATGCCAATAATAAACGACGAAGATATAACTGTTGCCACATATGCGGACGACACCGCCATTCTTGCATCTGCTTACTCTGCAAACGAAGCGTCTGAAACTGTTCAAAAACAACTGAACGCAGTTGAATCCTGGCTTCGAAATTGGAACGTTATGGTAAATGAGAGAAAATCAGCGTATGTTACCTTCACCATGAAAGCAGGAGATTGCCCCAGCGTCAATCTCAATCAAACAATTATTCCAGAATGCACTAGCACTAAGTACCTCGGAATGCAGACAGAAGACTTACATGGCAGC